ATGCGAGCCCGCGATGCCCCCGTCCGGGGGTCTAGGCGGCGAAGCGGGAAGGAGGGGCAAGGCGCAGGGCGATGCCCCCGTCCGGGGGTCTAGGCGGCAAAGCTGGAAGGAGGGGGAAGACGCAGGGCGATGCCCCCGTCCCGTCCCCGTCTAGGCGGCGAAGCGGGAGTGAGCGGGAAGATGCAGCTGCCTCCTGCGAGCCCACCCCCCCGCAACGGGCGGAGCGCCGCTCGCTGGGCTCCCCGGGTCCACGGAGCCCTCCTTTGACTAGCGGGGTGGCCCGGGTGACCTTCGCTCTCTGGACTCAGTTTCTCCGGCCTGGGCTTTCAGCAACCCATGTCTGATAGGGGCGTCAGTCCGAGTTGGGCGAGTTTAATCCCATTTTACGGAAGGGGAAACTGAGTCCCCAAGAGACCCAGAGAAGGGAAGAGCCGGCGCCGTCCCAGGCCCTCTGGACCCTGACGAGGACCCCGCTAATTGTTACAGACGGGGAAACTGAGGCTCAGGGAAACAGGGGCTGCAACCGGCGCCCTCCAGACGGCCGACCAGCCAGGACGCTGGGGTCGCCCAGGCGCGTGGGAGGGAGGCCAGCGCCAAGCCCCTGCTCTCGGCTGAATCAGAGCAGCGACGCCCCCACCCCAGGCCCGGAGCCCCTCCGTCCCCACCGGCTCCGGCCGTAGGCACTGGGAAGAGTGCGGCCACGCCGGGCACGGCCAAGAGCTCAGGCAGGCCGGACCCCGGTTAGGGAAATCCCCCCCGCGAGGCACCAGGAAACCGCGCCGCTCCGGGCCAGTCCCGACATCCCGGAAGCCGCAGGGCCGAGCCGCGGCGGCGCTGGGGAGGAGCCTTGGCGAGTGCAGCGCCCAGAGGAGCCGAGCAGACCCGAACATGGCCGAGCTTGGCCGAGCAGAGCCGAGTCCGGCCGAGTGCTGCCGACGACAGGCGAGCACAGCCGAGTCTAGCCGAACCCAGCCTGTCCCGCCGAACATAGCCGAGTCTGGCCGAGTCCGGCCGAGTGGAGCCGAGTGGGGCCGAGTCTGGCCGAGCGGAGCCGGCGGCTAGGGGGCAGTCCCGCGGGGGCCCCCTGCCGGACACAGAGCGCAGCGCTGGCTCGGCCGGAGCCAATCCGCCGCCTCCCGGTGCTGCGACAGTGCGGGCAGGGAGGCCAGTTTATGGATGGGGAAACTGAGCCTCCGAGGCTGGCCCCTGGGCAGGCAGAGCTGGGAGGTGGTGGCGCTGGGTTTGAACCGAATTGCGTGGCCGATTGCTCACCCGCCGCTGCCGCCCGTGGGCTTTGCACTCCCATAATTGAGGCCATTTACTAGGGCCAGAGAGGAGGAGGATCCCTGTCCGACGAGCGGGCATGAGGCCCGGGCCTCCTCTTTCCGACGGAGGAGCGGAGCAGGCAGGGCCAGCGGCCCCGCGTGCAGATGGTGACCCAGCGCCTGGCCACGAAGCGACAGCGGGGCCGGAGGACGGCGGCCTCCCTGGCCCCCACCCGCAACGAGACGCTGCAGAGGACGTGGCTGTGTCCCCGGGTGTCTGGGGCCCTGGAGGGTGGGACCCCAGCAGAGGGTGGCCCGGGCACCTTCTTCCAGCCCGTGAAAAAGCGAAGGCAGCCTTGCCCTGCATGCACACATGTGCGGGAGGGTGTGCCTGTCGCTCAACCCCGTGTCCACACCACCTTAGCCTGCCAGGCGGCCTGTGCGGGGCTGCAGGGGTGGCTGCAGGGTGGCTGGGCCTCTAGGAGGCTACCGAGGTCCCCATGAGGTCTGGGCTGCCCCTCATGCCTAATGTGTCTTGCCAAGGGCATCATCTGCCCCTGTCCAGTGGCCACTGGGGAGCTGGCACCAACGGCCTCAGAGCTCTCTGCACCCCCAATGTCACTGCTGTCACCCTGGCCCTCATTCTTGTAGTTTGTAAAAACTACAGACACTGGCCTGGGGGCTGGGAAAACAGGGTTCTTGGTCCTGCCTCTCGTGCAGTGACCCTGGGCAAGTCACAGGACCATCCCCGGCCTCACTGTCTTCAGCCGTAAAATGCAGATCAAACCTGCTCTTAGTACTTGGCTGGCTCCCAGGCCTCCCTCCCGGGACACAAACCCCAGTTCCCTCCTTACACCCCGTCCTGCGGAGACTTCCACCCCCACTGGGATGGATTCTTGCTCTCCTAAAGCCCTTCTCACATTTATTCAACACATAGACCCACAATGCACCGGGCATTCTTCCAAGCTGTTGATAAATATTCATTCATTTAAACCTCCTAACAGTACATGCATCTGCTCTCATCCTCATCTCAGAGAGCAGGAAACTGAGGCACAGAAAGGTTAATCAGCTGGCTCAAGGTCAGACAGCTGGTGGATGGATGAGCTGGAATTCAAACCCAGGCAGTTCCAGAGTCCGGGGACTTCCAAACTGCCTCTTTATCTCTTATCTTCGCTGCGACTTCCTTCACCCCTGAGAGACGGGCCTCGTCCTTCTCTGCCCTCAGCCTTTGGCAGTTGGCAGCCGCCCAGCGAACACGTTGAATGAAGGCATGAATGAGTTAGTCGCCGGGAGGCCCGGAGAGCAGGGCCCTTATCTCGGTTTTGCAGGTGGGGAACTGTACCCGTCGGCTCCGGCTGCCATGACAAAGTACCACAAGCTACGTGGCTTAGACAACAGAACGTTATTTTCTCCTGGTTCTGGAGCCGGAAGATCCGGGAGTCGGGGCTGGCTGCTTGCTCCTGAGGCTGAGAGGAAGGAGCTGCTCCGGGCCTCACTCCTGGCTTCTGCGGGCTTGCTGGCCATCCTTGCTGGTCCTTGGCTTGTAGAAGCATCTTCTTTGTGCGCGTGTCTGTGTTCAGATCTTCTCTTTTCTGAAGGACAACAGTCATACTGGGTTAGGGGCCCACTCCGCTCCAGTAGGACCAGTAGGACCTCCTCTTAACTACTTACATCTGAAAGGACCCTGTTTCCAAATCAGGTCCCATCTGGAGGTCCTGGAGGTTGGGACCTCAGCAGAGGAATTCGAGGAGGGGATGCAATTCAGCTGACAACAGGAATGAAGCCCCCAGGAGGTCCTGCCTGACACACGTCTACCCCTGACTTAGGCTCCCCTTGGCCTCTCTCCCCTTCGTCCCCTGCCCTCCTGCAGCCTCAAGGCCTCAGTGCACACAGGGCCCCCGCCTGGCACACGCACAAGCAGCCCTCTGCTCTCAATGCAGCCTCCCACTGACGCCTCCCCCCAACGGTGCCCCTAGAGCACCCTGCACTTCCCTCCCCACTGGAGAGTGACACAGTCACTCATATGGCTGCCCATGAGCCCCAACAGCACCAGTGCCGCCTCTGTTGCCCTCCACTGTACACCGCCCAGGGTCAGGGCCGTGCATACCATCGGTGCTCAGAAAATCTTTGACTTAATGAACTGTGCCCAGAGAGGTGAAGTGAATGGCCCAAGGCCACACAGTAGGTTTGTGGCAGAGTGAGCCTAAGGTCCACGCCTCCTGACTTTGGGTCCCATGGCTTTTAGGGGCTGCATTTTCCCCATAGCCTTCCAGCGGTCCCACCCAGCATCTCACCAGGGCCTGCCAGTGACAGCGGAGGACCCTGAGGGCCTTGGCAGGACGTGGCCTTGCACAACTCCACGGAGCGCCCCTCACATTACAGCCTGGGGTTCTTGCTGCTTTTAGAGCCTTTTCTTCTGTATCTGGAGTCCTGTGGAGCCCAGGCTGTCACCTTCCCATGGGACAGTGACCTGTCCCCCCCTCCCCTTGTAAGTGAGGAGCGCCTGAAGCCCTGGGGCCTCAGCTCCCCCTACCCCAGGCCCTGCGGCCTCCCAGCTCCTCACCGCTGATGCTGATGCTGATGCTGATGCATGAAGTCCTGGTCCAGAGCCTGGTGACCATGGGCTGTTGCCTGGCAACCGCCTCTGAGAGACAAGTTCAAGGTAAGGCCCTGGGTCTGAGCAACTTGGATGTCTGGAGAGGAGGAGTCAGGCAGAGAGGGTCATCACCACCCCTTCCTGCCTGCTCAAGCTCACAGCTCCAGAAGGCGCCCCCACCTTCACCCCTGCACTTCCCATAACCCACAGTTCCAGCCACCAAACCCCCGGGCAAGCTCCTCCCGTTCCCCCCTGCTCCTCCCTCTGTTCATTCAGGGGCCCCACGTTGCACAGATCCAAAGGAGGCAGAGGGGCCGGCTCCCAACACAGCCCCACCTCTGGAGGGACAAGGCAAGCAGGACACCCACATGCCCACAAGCACATAAGCGTGCACAGGCAGTGACACACAGTGTCGGGGGGAAGGCCTGGGGGTGTGGGATCCAGAGGGGGACCGTGGCCCAGGCGCTCATCCCACACAACTCTTGGCCCCCAGAGTCCCTCTGCTCCCACCCTATGCACACCTGTCCCCCACACACAGCAGGTCCTTGGGGTTAAGTTCCCATACTCGTTCACTCATGGATATGGCTGAGATGCCCTGAGCACCTACTATGCGCCCGGCACTGGGCTCACACACACACACCTCCAGTCTGCTGTTATTGCTGCCTGGCCGGCCTCCCCTTGCCTGGTACTCTGTCCCTACCTCATTGGTCAGGCCAAACTGTCCATCACAGTATTCCCACCTTCTCTCTGGCAGGAAAAATGGGCACATGACCCATACCTGGCCAATCATGGCACTCTATCACTTTGTCTTTGGTGATTGGCCCAAGGCACCATCATGTGACCCAGTTGGAGCCAATCAGCTTTCTTCCATGAGATTTGATATTTGGATGCAGGAAGAGTCTATCTAGTGCTTTTGGATAAGATCTGTAAGGATGTAGGCTGAGGCTTGTTGGGGCATCTTCCATGTCCCCTGGAGGACTGGGACTCTGGGAGGCCACACGCCAAGAGACCTGGCCACACAGAGCTGGAAGATGGATAGAGGGAGCATCCTGATAGAGGTCGAACCCATGCACACGCCCATCCACACACACCCATCTAGACACACAGCATCTGGCAGAGGAAATGGCCCAGGCCACAGCTGTTGTCATGTGTCACCGTCTTTATTGACAAGAGCTAGGGGCAGAAGCAGCAACAGATTTCCCTGGGGGCCTCCCAGCCACCCTGCAGAACGCGGTCGCCTGCCCCAGGAATCGGGTGGGAAGGCAGGGCCAGCCAGGGATGCTGGAATGCTAGGGGGCCCTCTTCCCTCGGAGCCCCAGATCCTCCTCAGGGGAACCCCAGACTGAGAGCTGGGCCTCCAGCCTCCAACCTCCACATAAGGTCTGGTTTTGTGAACTTCCTTCCCCCTGAGGGGGCCCATCTCTCCCCCAAGCCCCGCCTCCCTGCTCCTTGGCCCCAACTCCCCTTTGGTCGTGTCCTGCAGTGTTTTCAGTCCCAAAGGCTGGAGACAATGGAGGCCGCTTGGTGGAGGAGAAGGGGGTGTAGGCCGAGCCTGGCAGGGGGCCGCCTCCGTTTTATAATCTGATGCGCCCCACCCCCACCCATTGCAGTGCACCAGTCAGTTCACCCAGCAGGACTCATTTTCCTCCCACACCCCAGGAGGCAGGCAAGCTGGGACAACCACCTCCATTTTATGATGGGGAAACTGAGGCCCAGAGAAGTCAAGGCTAACCAGGATCCTGAGGTGCACTGAAGATCTAGGGCTCCCAATTTGTGGTTCTCGTGCTGTCCCTGAGGATGCCCCACCCTCTGCAGGGTGGTGGGCTGGCAGATTTAGCCCGAGGTCCCTCCCTCCCCGGGGCCAGTCTCACTGTGGCTCTAAGGGGTCGTCTCTGGGAGCGAGTGCAGGCTGGTCCATGGCCAGTCTTGGACAGTGGCCTCTTCTGTGGTCCCGCTCCAGCCTCCTCTTGTTTCCCCTGGGCTTCCCGGAACTGTAGCCCCAGGGAATATAGAGGATGGGGAGTTCTGCTCCCTGACCTGCGGGGGGCGCACCATTCCTCCCACCCTCCCTGGGAGCCAGGTCCCGCTTCTGGGCTCCACCCCCAGGCTTCCCTCAAGGCCCTGCCTTCTTCCCAGCACCAACCAGGTCCCAGCCCTGGGGCTTTCAGAGCATTTGCTGTTCCACCCTGATGACATCCTCCCTTGAGATTGATCAGGCCAGGCGTCAGCAACCCAGTGTCATCGATGCTGCAACAGGGCTCAGCCCAGAGGGGCCAAGGACAGCTCCAAGGTCATGGAGCAGATGTGTCCTCCACCCTCCTCCTACTCCTCCCTCCTGTTCCTCTTTCCTCCTGCCCTCTCCCCACCCCCATCCTTTTGCTCTCAGCACCGTTCAGACACTCTTTCTTTCCAGGCCCGTCTGCCTGGGCTGGGTCCCTGCCTTGGGCACTGGGAGGGGAGGAACAAGGATGCTTCCTCCTATGAGGGGGCTCCTGGAGGTCTCAGAGATCCTGAGATGCCCTCCTACAGCCACAGGACACAAAGTGAGCTGGTCTGGGGATTGGTCAGCTGCCCTCAACAGAGGCTAAGCTAGGTTTTGGGGGGCCTAAGCTTATGCAATTTGGGGTCCCTCTTAAAATTACAAGTACAAGATTAGATGCAGGACCTCAGAAGGGCCCGAGCAGTAGGGGACCCTGAAGCTGGACTTAATTAGCTTCCCGGATAATCTGCCTGTCTCCTCGTGTCCAGACGCACAGGAGCCCTGGCACCAACTGTCTGGGCCAGAGGGCCTGGAGGTCATTGGGTTGTTCAGCGGGTGAGGCCTGAGGTCCCGAGGGGAGAGCCCTTGCAGCACGTAGGGAGAGCTGACACAGGCCCTGGGCAGTCTCAAACCCTCCTCCTACTAGGTAGGACTTCTCTTTGGGGCCCCAGTCCAGCTGCCTGTGAACCTGGGGCCCCCGTCCCTCTCCCGGGAACCTGACTCAGGAAATCCAGGCCTTGGCTTATCCCTCTGGGCCAAGACCCAGGCTGCTGCCCCAGGATGCTCTGTCTCTGAGCGAAAGGCCAGTCTGCACCTGTCCCCTCCACCTGGGCCTGACTCAGGAGGATCAGCCCCACACTGACGCCCCTCCAGACTTCCCATCTGACAGAGCTCATCCAGGCTGAATACTCCCATCCCTGAGTCACAGAGGACAACACGAGGCCCAGAGAGGGGACGCTGACCCATCCAAGGTCACACAGCGAGTCCCAGCAGCACTGGGATCAGAGCCCAGGCGTCCAGACATCCCATCACGGGCCCCTGGCACCTCAGGCGGCAGGCCCTAGGCGCACCCACAGCCTCCACCCGGTGCTCAGGCCGCCCTGGTGCTTGCAGGCCCCTACAGATAGCTGATGTGCAGTGTGCCTGACTTCTCTCCAGCTGAGGGCTCTTGGGGTAGGAACAGCTGCTCCTTGCCGGCCGTGCTGCTGGCCGGCCGCTCCTGCCCGCTGGTGCCCGGCTGTGTGATCCGGCTGACCCGGTCCTTCTTCCCTTTCCTCTGCCCTTGCTTCCCTGCCCCCTCCTCCCCGTCCTTCTGCCCATCCTCTTCCTCCTCCTCCGTCTTCTCCGGAGGCCCCTCCGGGGGCTCCTGGCTGCGCACACGGCGGGAGGGCCGCAGCAGGACCCTGCGGAAGCCCTGCTTGAAGCGGTAGGAGAGGAAGCCGTAGAGGATGGGGTTGGCGCAGCTGTTGGCATAGGGCAGCGCCACCACCAGGAAGTAGAGGCCGAAGAAGGCGGGCTCCTCGGGCAGCGGGCACACCACGTTGATGATGTTGAGCACGTAGAAGGGCATCCAGCAGAGGACGAAGAGCGCCACCACGGCCACCACCATGCGTGTGACCCTGCGCTCGGAGCACCGCCGCTGGCACGAGGGCGCCCGCACCCGCCGCCCCGCCGAGCGCACTTTGACCACGATGAGCAGGTAGCAGAGGCAGATGACCAGCAGCGGCCCGAAGAAGCCCAGCGCAGCCGTGTAGATGATGAAGCCAGCTCGCCAGGCCGCCGCCGGCTCCGGCCATTGCATGTGGCAGGTGCTCATGCCACGGGGCACACCCGAGAAGACCACCACGGGCAGCACCACCACGGCTGAGGCCACCCAGACGGCCACACTGACCGTGCGGGCCACGGGCGCCGTGCGCCAGCGGGCCGAGCGAGTGGGATGCACCACCGCCAGGTAGCGGTCCACGCTCATGACGGTGAGGCAGAAGATGCTGGTGAACTGGTTGATGCCGTCCACGGCCATGACCAGGCGGCACATGAGGGAGCCGAAGGGCCAGTAGGACAGGGCATTCTGGGCAGCCAGGAAAGGCAGCCCCAGCATGAAGAGCTCGTCAGCCAGCGCCAGGTTGAGGATATAGACGTTAGTGACCGACGGGCTGGCCGTATGCCGCAGGACCACGTAGATGACCAGTGAGTTGCCCAGCAGGCCCACCACACACACCACCAGGTAGACCAGTGGGATCAGAACACCGCTGATGGCGAGCCCTGTCGTGCTCGGGTCCGAGGACACATTTCCCAGGGTGACATCCAGGGGCCAGGCTGAGGAGGTGTTCCCAGGTTCCGAGGTCATGGGCACCGATGAAGCATAACTGGGGGTGTCCATGGCTGAGAGGAGGGCAGTCAGCAGTCAGCTACTGGCCTGGAGGATGGAGGACACAGCCCGGTCATGGCAGAGGATGGCTTTCTCTCCACTGCCCCTCCCCCATCACACTGAACTTGAAGACTGACTGTGTGCCCGGCCAGAGTTTGGCATGTACCAGCCCATTCACTCTGCACAGCAGGGCAAGGTAGGCTGGCAGGGTATTCCCACTTCTCAGATGAGCAAACTGAGTCTCAGAGAGGGGAAGTGACCACCGTGTATCACACAGCTAGGGTGTGGTGTGGGACACGGGCTTGCCTCCCTCCAAAGGGCAGGGACCAGCGCTGGCCTGTGCGCCACTGTGTCCCTTTGCCTGTGCACACGGGTGCTCCACAAATGTCCAATAAAGGAATGAGTGGATCATTCAATTGGCTGATGACAACATAAGTCTTTTCCTCTGAATGAGCGCTTTCAAACATTTTTGACACCAACGCCTTTTACGTTGCAACCCATTGAATGGTTTCATAACACAATAGTTGCCCCTTCTCCACATGACGGCCTCAGCTGTCAGAGCCCGGAGTGCCTGGCCCGCTGCTGCAGACTGAATGTGCCCCCCTTAATTCATGTGCTGAAACCCTACCTCCCAGTGTGATGGTATTGGGGGGGCCTTTGGGAGGTGATTAGGTCGTATGTGAGGAGCCCTCATGAATGGGAAGAGTGCCCGTAGGAGGGAGACCCCAGGGAGCTCCCTTGGCCCTTCTGCCATGTGGGGACACAGCAAGGAGATGGCTGTCTGTGAACCAGGAAGTGGACCCTCACCAGACACCCAATCTGCCAGCGCCTTGATGTTGGGCTTCCAGCCCCCAGAACCGTGAGCGATACATCGCCGTGGTTTATACGCCACCCAGAATGGTATCCTGTTACAGCGGCCGGAACGGACTAAGGCAGCCGCCAACGGGTCTCACTCTCACATTTGACAGACACTACTGCAAATCACAGGTCCTTGACCTTGAACCTGAGTCTCTAGATGAACCTCAGAGGATCTGTGAGCCTGTAACATTCCGGTGAAAAGTAATGCATCCACGTCTTTTCTGGGCAGGCCCAGAGCTTTCATCAGATTCCGAATGGAGTTAAGAACCCCAGGCTCAGGAATGTCCCTTCCCCTGAGAGTCGCTGTTGGGGACCCCTGCAGCCCAGCCCAGCCCACTGTGCCTCCAAAAAGGCCTTGCCCGGGCCGGTTGGCTGTGAACCTGGGTGCTGGTGGCCGGGCCCCCTTCTCCCCCAGGGCCGACTTGTGCTGGAGAAATTCACAACGTGCTGGCGGTAGGTACACGGACAGCTGCCTCCTCCCGCATCAGTGCCGCAGGCTTCCCTGAGAAGAGGGCGTTCCGCATGGGTCTTGAAGCACGAGTAAGAGCTTGCCCACGGGCACAGTGGGACCCAGCCTCCCCACTTACTTCGTTAGTACCTTTCTCATCATACCTCTGGCGTATCCTAAGGAGCTGGGACTCTGCCAGGCTCCCCTGCCAGACTTGATGCTCCCTAGGTTGGAGATGCTCCCACTCAGCTTTGACTCTTTCCCTCAACCCCAGCTCCGTGTCAGTGTGTGAGGCATCGAATGAATCAGAGGAACCCAGAGTGGACGATTCTTAGTGCAGAGCAGGGGTGCACTGCTGCTGGTAGAGACTGAGGCCCCGGGAGAGGCGCTGCCCCGGGATTTGGCAGCCGCCCTCGGCAGAGCTTCCCGGCTCACAGGAGGCCCAGTTAGGGGCCAAGGCTGAAAGCAGGGCCTCCTCTGAGACCCAGACCTTCCCCTGCTCTTTTGTCTTAGTGACACCCTCACCCCGTCCCTTGGCTCTGGGCTGTCCCCTGACTCTCCTCCAGAAACCCCGAGGGAGAAAGAAGTCCCTCAGAGGACAAGCCTTTCCTCCAACACCCGCGGCCCACTCACCCTGGGCCTGAACCGCCTCCAGCGAGACCCTATCCGGACACTGCTTTTAAGGTGCAAAGCTTCTGGAAGGGGAGGCACCCCCAACTCGAGCAAACGCCTCTGGGTGGGTGAGTCCATCTGGGTGCCCCTGCCCAATGACCCCTGCCTGGTGACCTGGGCCGTCAAGGGCTCTGAGCACCAGGCAGGACAAGGCTGAGAACCATACCCCAGCCTGGGGCTCAGAGCACCCCTCGCTGCTGCTCCAAGCGGGGGGGAGACCCCCAATCTGACCTCCAACTTCCCCTCCCCCTCGGCCCTCAGCAGCTCTCCAAGCCCGGGACAGCGGCACGAAGGGAGGGGCTCCTGGGGCAGTGGGCTTTAGAATCCTAACGGTGCTGCCAGCTTCTTGTCACTCAGGTTCCAGGCTAAGCCAGTGACGTACTGCACCCTGTGGGGTATTACAAGGGAGACACTAGTGTCATTGCCACTGAACAGGCAGGGAGCAAGGGGGAGGCCACATGCTCTGGTCACACAGCCAGGAAAGGGCAGAGCTGGAGGACCGTGAGACCATCGTCCTCCCACCTCCATTCCACAGGCCGGCAGACCGAGGCCGGGCCTGGAGAAGGCACTGGCCGAAGGGTCCCTGCTGGTCAGGGTGCCCAGCTGGCACCCACCTCTCCTCACTGCTCCTCGGGCTCCTGAACTATTAGGATCATGGACCCAAATCCTTAGACTCTTTGAAGCTTAAAAATAGAATTTTAGATTCTTAGAACTGAGTTGTAGTCATAGATCTTTAGACTCCGTGTCCTTGAATCCGAGAATGTCAGCACTCCGGAGTGCCGGAATCAGCCCTTCTTAGACCTGGAATTGTGGAATCTGGGACCTGCCTCGGCCTGGGGACCCTGCGTCACCCATCGGTCCACCTTGCCTCTCTGTGCGCAAATCCTCTTTATAGCATCCCCGCTGGGCGGCCAATTGCAGCCAGAGCTGGAGGAGGGAGGCGAGCGCCAGGCTCCTGAGAGACACCGAGAGCCCAGAAAACCTAATTTCCAGGCTGCAAGGACGAATGCCCGAGGGGAGCCTGGGGGCGAGCTCTCAGCACAGCCGCCTCCCGCCCAGGCACGCACATGTGCGCCCACACGCGCGAGCACACGGGCTAACACACGGCGTGGCGGGAACCCAGCCAGGCCCTCCCTTTGTATGGGGGGTTGGGGCGGATGGGGATGAATTAGCCCCTCCCGGTGCCCCTGGCCCCCTGGAAGACTCCCTGCCTCCACCCTCATCCGGGCCCAGGGGTGTCAGAGGCAGGGAAATTACAGCCTTCCGCGGGCGTAAGCCAGACCTGCAATTTAGGTACTGCCTTCTCTTTAAGGAGCTGGAATCCTGTGTGTGATCTGGTCCATCCTTGGGGAGGAGGGACTTTTCTTCCCTGTCTGGTTTATCTTTGGCACGAGCTTGCCTGAAAGCTGGGGGCGGACTCCTCAGAGGACTGCTCGGGAGGGGACAGAGGCCCAGAGAGGGTGAGTGGCTACCCTGAGCCCCACAGCAATTCAGGATGGCCTCTCAGAGAGGTCAGACACCCCAGTGACTCTCCATCTGTATGTCCCCCACTCCCTTCCCCTGTAGAGTGCCGGCTCTTGGGTGCAGGAGCTATTTATTTCTTTAACCCCAGCATCTAGCACAGTACCCAGAACATCCGGGAAATGTGAGCCGACCAAGCAGTTCAGTGATTAGAGCTCCAAGGTGGGACACGGCTCCTGGGCAGAGGCCTCAAACTAACATTAGGAAATCTTCACAAAGCCCACGAGGGATGGTTTTTAGAGAGGAGGAAGCTGAGGCCCAGAGAGGTTCGGTAAGTTGCACAAGGTCACCCAGCTGTGAGTGCGAGTCAGGATTCCAACCCGGTACTGTCCACTCCTAAACCATCAGTACCTCCTGGTCCTGCTGGCTTCCCTGAAGGCCTCAGGCTGAGAGGACACAAGGACTGGCCAAGCCCCCGACGAGGCAGGCTGATGGCCCCTGGCCAGCTCTGCATTCTGCTTGCCCTCTGCTCCCCTAGGCCTTCCCCTAAGAGGGCTAGACTGTGCTAGTCAGGGCCACTGACCCACAGGCCTGGAGTCTGACCCCCGGGAACATGCTCCACAGCCCTGGGCTGGGGGCTTAGGCTCTGCCACAGATTGATGATGCCAAATTGCTGTGTGACCTTTGGCAAGTCACTTCCCACCTCTGAACCTCAGTTTCCTCCTATTAAAATGAAGACAAGCGTACCCACCTCCCAGGGCTGTTCAAAGGATTAATGGGAGTGTGCCGAGCAGAGTGCCCAGCACAGAGGGAGCTCAGGCAAGCTGGCACGTGAGCCGAGGAGGCCAACGCCGTGATGCATCTGGTTTCTTCCAGCTCCGATATTCTGCTGTTCTGTGATTCCAAGATTCTAGAATCATGGCATGAAGTACTGTGATTAATGTCCCCCACCCCACGCAGCCCACCAAGAGGCCACAGGAAGGCCTCCTTCCTCCCTGGGGCTTCCCACCCTCTCCCAGCCCCCAGCCCCAGCCTCCCAAGTTCATCCTGGGCAGAGGGTGGGCTCAGCACCCGCCCCCGGAACCCCACCCTGGCCCCAGCCTCCTTACCTGCCCATGGGGTGAGGGCTCCCCTCCTTGCTGCCAGGCCGGTTATCATCCTGCTGGCCCCTCTCCCTGCCTGGTCCCCAGGGACTCCAGAGCACCCCTTCACCAGGGTCCCCACACAGTGCCCACTTCTAGACCGCTCGCAGGCCGGCGGCCCCTCTCAGGCCCGCGGCGGCCACGTCTGCCCACGGGGCCGCTCCCATCTGGTCTCCGGCCCCGACTTCCCACCGGCACCGGGTGCGTCACCCCCCATCTCCAGGACACGTCCTGGGGGGGCAGGGTAGGGGCACAGATGGGGGGTCTGCAGCAGAAGCCTCCCCACAAAGAGAAGGAAAAGGGGAAGAGTGGACTGTGAGGAGCCAATAGGAACAGAGGGAAGGGGGGTCGGTCGGAGGTGGAGAGAGAGAGAGAGAGAGAGAGAAGCCAGCGAGTGGGTGGAAAGCCAGAATGAGGGGGGTGATGAGAAATGCGTGACAGGGAGACGGGAAGGAGGAGGAGAGGGAGCAGGAGAAGGGGCAGAGGGAGAGATGCAGAGAGAGGAGAGAGGCAGAGAGAGAGCAGAGCGAGGAAGGAGGAAGGAGAAGGAGGGGTGGCAGGGAGAGTGACAGAGAGGGATTGTCCACAGATGGTGACATGGAGAGCCAGAGAAGGAGGCGGCAGGGGTGGGGGCGCAGGAGGGGCCAGGAGGAGGGGCCGAGGGGCCGGAGCAGGTGCCGGGGTGAGGGAGGAGGGGCGGCAGGTTGGGGAGGAGGCTGGGGGGGCAGACCCTGTTACCGGGGAGATTCCAGCGCCCACGCTGGCCTTGGCTCCTGCAGGGGGTGGGAGGGGAGAGTGTGGTGCTCAGGGGAGCTGGGGGCCGAGAGGCAGCAGCCAGACGCCCCCCACGCCACCACGGCACATGTCCTCCAGGGAGACAACTGGGGCCCCCCGAGGCCGGGCGGGTGTGGGGTTGGGCAGTGCCACGAGGAGGGCTGGGAGCACGGGGCGAGCACTGGGCTAGGAGTCCACAGTCCTGCAGTCTGGGCTCACTGGCCACAGCTGGACACCAGGCGCAGAGGAAGGGCAGGTGGGGGTCATGAGTCGTGAGCCTGGCAGAGTCCCGGGAACCCCGGGCAGGGAGAGGGAGGAAGGACAGGGGAAAGAATAAATATTTCAGGCTTTGGGGGCCAAGAGGCAAAATCAAAGATATTATACAAGAGAAAACCAATGTCCGCGATTTGTAAACTGACAAAATTCAGAATACAATAACAATTGAGGACCAGTTTTTATAATCCAGGTCTACTACGGAGAAGAATGGAATTCTTTTGGGGGGAATCACGTTTTGCTTAATTGGAGTTCAAAGTTAGTATTTCCTGTCATCAAATCAGTTGCAAATGGTCGTCTGTAAAATCCGGTCTTTGCTGGCAGGCTGTACGAAAACAGGCGCCGTGCGGGACTTGGCCCCGGGCCACATTCACCGACCCTTGGTCTGAGACGCTCTGCCCTGGGGCCAGGCCTGGCTGCCCCTGGAGGCTGTGTCCCAGCTTGTGCTGGCCGGCTGTGTGACCCTGGGTGAGTTGTCCCCTCTCTGGGCCTCAGTTTCCTCATCTGGATCATGAGGGGGTTGGCCTAGATCCTTCCTCAGCTCCTCTTTCAGTATGAGCATCATAAAGGCCTATGGGCAGCTGTTCTTTATTAAGGGCAACACGGGTGACAGTCAGGGAGGGGCGGGAAGAAGGAAATGAGTCTTTGTTGAGCACCTACTATGTGCCAGGCACCATCCAGGCCCCTTTCCGTAGCGGGCTGTTCCTCAGGCCTGGGGCTGGACCTGCTTCGTCACTGGGTCCCCAAGGCTATGTGTAGTGGGCCCTCAGAGAGCCGGAATCCAGTGCTTCCAGAGGCGCGGCTCTGGCCGCTGCGGCACACAGTAGAACTAAGGACACACCACTTCCGCCTGGACCCCCTGCCTCTTGACTGTCCCTCCACTCGCTGTGGGCCCGGGGCCCTGCTCCAGGCCTCAGGCCTCTGTCTGGACAAGTTCATGAGGGGGAGGTGGGCTCAGAGGCATCTCCTGGGAGTGAGGGACTGTCCCTCCCCTGCCCAAGGCTGTCCCGTGGCTTCTCGTGGCCCTCAGAATAAAGCCCACCATCCCAGCCTCGGTCCCCACCCCGCTCTGCCTCCTTGTCTGCTGACTTCTTTCACCCACCTGTGCTCCAGGTACCCTGCCTCATTCATTCATTCATTCATTGCATCATTCATTTGTTCATTCCACAGGCAAGCTGGGAAGGCCTCTCTGAGGAGGTGAGAGAGACAGAGCAGATATCTGGGGAACAGCACCCAGGCAGAGGCAGAGGTGAGGTGGCCACGAGCTTGTGTTTGAGGACCAGGAAGGGACCAGCATGGATGGAGAGGAGGCAGGCCAGGGGGAGCCGCTCAGGCTGGAACCCGTGGGGCCTTGCTGTCTCAGTCGGGAGGGCTGGGAGCTTTGCAGGGTGCAAGCAGAGGAGCTGTGGGACCTGACCTGTGTTTTGCAAAGGCTCAGCAATTAGGAACCAGCGAGAGTGTTGGTTCTCCTCAGGGCCTTTGCACAGGCTGTGCCGCCAGCCCCGGACGCTGTCTCACACCACCCCACCCCCGTGTATGAGACGAAGTCTTCCTTCAGGTGGCCCCTCCTGGAGCCCTCCCTGCTCTGGATGCAGACCCCGCCCTAGACATCCCAAAGCCCCCAGCCCCACACGGCCTCTCGTCAGAGCTCATCGAGACTGCGCTGAGCTGGGCTGGGAGCGTCAGAAAGACAGACTCTGTGGGGGTCTGCACCTTGTCCCCAGGCCCGGCCCCAGCCTCGCCCGCAGGAGGCGTTTGCTGCGGGTTTAATGAGAAGAGGATGGATGGACAGTCAGCAGCAGGGCGGGGAGAAGGGGAGACTGTGCTGGGCTGAGCGTCTGCCCAAGCCTGGGGAGGCTGCGACCCTGGGCACCAGGCTGCGGGCAGCTGTGTCCTGAGTCAGACACCATCCCACTCAGGGGCCTTCCCCAGCGGAGGCGGCCCTGGGGCCCCTGACCGGCCCCGCCTCCTGGGGGCGGCGGGGCAGAAAGAGGAAGTGCCCTCCACACCTGTGAGCTCTGAAGAGCGGGATGCTGGGCATCTGGGACCAAGGGGTGGCCCCGCCCTGCCTGGCCCTGAGGTCCTCTAAGCTCAGGCCTGGACCTGGCACCTCAGTGCTGTCCTGCCCGCCGGCATCCTGGGTGGGCTGCTCGGCCTGCCTCCCTGAGACAGGATGACGCTGCATCCCCCCACCAGACCCTGGCCTCCTCAAACTGGGGCCACGTCTCCACCCTCAGACTGGAGGGCTCCCCTAGACGACGACTGTGCCTCCACCATCAGACAGGTGGTTTTCCAGGAGCCCAGCCGAGGCTCCTCTCGTCCCTGAGAGCCAGGACAGAGCCAACCACAGTGTAGGCCGGGATCCTCAGCTACTGATGCTGAGGTCTGTCTTCTCAAATAAGATGAGATGAGCCAAAATGCCTCCCCAGCCCAGACCCCCGGGGCTTTGTCACTGGAGTCCCCATCAAGGGTGTCCTCCAGTTCATCTGGCTCCTGCTGCGGTTGAATCTCAGCTTTGCCACTTACTGGCTGTGTGACTTCAGATGTGTGACTTAACCTCTCTGAGCCTCAGTCCTCATCTTCAACACCTGCTGCCTAGGTTGCTGTGAGGTAGAGTAAGTTAAGCCCTTTTCACAGCAGCAGTTCCCAGGGACACCAAGGAGCTGCATATTAGCATGGTCCTCTCACCTCGCCGTCTCCTGCAGTTGGTGAGAGGGGCTGGGAGCCTGGGCAGGCGAGGCTGAGCCCCAGTCAAGCTGCGTGACTTGGTGAAACCCCGCCGCACTTTCTGCTTCAGTAGAACGGGCCGCCTTCCTGTGCAGGTCAGATGAAGCAAATGCTTGTCAGCTGGTCACCCCCAGAATCAAGCCTTATTGCTTCTGCCTCGAGCTCTCATCTTTCTAACCGGTCCGCAGTTCTCCAACCCTGAACTTCCTTCCGGTCCAAGCCACCGTCACCTCTTGTTGGTCTCCCTGCTTCTGCCCTCGCTCTCAACTCAGCAGGGAGAGTGAGTCTGTTAAAAATACAAGTCACCCCAGTTGCTTCCTCCTTGAGCCTGTCCTGCGGCCACCTGCTGCTGGAGAATGAAATCTACAATTCCTGCTGTGGCCTGAGTGCCCCATGGAGCCGCCTCTGACACCCCTCTTCCCACTGGCCCCTTCCTCTCTCTCTGACGCACCGTGGGCTTCAGGCTGAGCCTCACACGTGCCCCAAGCCCTTTGCACAGGCTGTTCCCCCATCCCTCTCCTCATCCTTCAACAGCTTTAGGCGTCACCTGCCGTGAAGCCTTCCCATTCTCTGACGGTCCTTCCGTCCTTCCTCGGGGGAGGCAATTCCACCCTCTTAGCTATTTCTCCTTGTACTTGTCTCCATCTTGCTAAATATCCGGTTGACTTTTCTCTCTCGATTCCCAGTTGCACGCCATCTACTGACTCCCTGTGATGTGGATGAGGATTTTAGATTTCTCACACACTCTCTTCCCTTCCCCTCCTCCTCTCAGCATAACGTAATTTTCTGGTAAATGCGCAGTGTTTCCACTATTAATGTAATGTAAATATTATTTCTTGCTCTGCCAGGAGCTAATAATTGCCTCATTTCTTTCATTTGCTTCGTTTTTTACGACATCTTCGTTTTCTTGCACTGAGTATTTCCACACGCTCCTACAGCTTCATAAAAACCGCACGGTGGACTCCCCAGGTCTAAGCTCGGTGGCGATTTTCTCTTGGAGACGCCTGACCTGCCATCTGTCCACGCATCCTCCTGCCTGTGTGCAGCTGGGTTCTCTCTCCGCCGCCACATAAGGACCCCCTTCAGCTTCTCCCCACAGTGGGTCCTGTTTCTTCATCCCGTGTCTTCCTCTTTAACGGTTCACTCCCTTATTTTGTTGGTAACTTCCTGAGAAAGTACACCTGCTTGAAAATAGTTAAGTCTCGCCTCATACTTGTGACAGCCTGGGCGGGTAGAGGATCCTAGGTTGAGGACCGCTTTGACTCAGTGGGAGGCATCTTTCCATATTTGGCACTATTCTTATTCTCAATCCACTGTGTGTAACACTGGGTGGCTTTTTTCTTCATTCTGGAAGCTTCTAGGATCTTTGCTTTATCCCTAAATTTCTGTAATTTCATGACACATGGCTCATGTCGCCTGCAGCACCGAGTGTCCGGGGCATTCAGTGAACTGTTTTAATCTGAAGATTTGTGTACTTAAGTTGTAGGAAAGATTTTTCTATTATTTTTTTTCTGAAATTCCTATTATTTGACTATTGGCCTCCTGGATTAATCCTTTAATTTCTTGTTTCTTGTGTGCGTGTGTGTGTGTGTGTGTTCTGGGTTTTGTGGGGTTTTTTACTGTATTTTATCTTCCATTGCTTCTATTTTTTTAAGTTTTTAATCAACGTATTTTTAATTTCCAAGCGGTCTCCTGTTCTCTGCATTCATTTGTGGTGTATTTTCCCTCCCTCTCCAAGGATAACAATGATTCTTTCTTTACAGTTTTCTTCTGGTCGCTGCCGTGTCTCTATTTCTTGCTAGTTCCTTTTTTCTGTCTGTCTGATGGGTCTCGTTCACGTTAGAGCTTTCCCAGATTGTCTAGTCATCTTTAATGATCTATTCATTTTTCAGAATGAAGCATTAAAAATCAGACTAGAAGCTCCAGGTAGAAAGGTAGAGTTTGTAAAATAGTGAACATCTCTGCAGGCACAGTGGGATCTTTGGTCAAGGACACCCAGATGTCACCAGATGTCAGTGTCTGTAAGACTTTCTCTGGGATGGTCAGATCCCGTCCAGCTCTCTGTCGGGGCTGAGTGTCTGCCCGGCTGCCAGCATCCCCGAGCGGGGCCCAGGAAGGGGCTGAGCTCACCCTGTTCAGTATTCAGACTTCTGCCGAATCCCCCTGTTGAGTCAGCTGTCGCTCGGTGACAAACAGCCCCAGAAATCTCCGTGTCACACGACAGCAAGCATACATTTCCCTGCACGCCTGCAGGCCAGCCGGGGTGGGTGGTCTAGGCTGGGCTGCAGGGCTGCGGGTCAGCTGAACACCTCTGCTCCATGTTTCTTTTACATGCTTGGAACCAGCAGGCTTACCAGGGCGTGATCTTCTCTCAGCACAGGAGAGCCCAGGTGCCTCCTTGTGATGCGCATGCTAACATCCCAGCGGCCAAAACAAGTCGCAGGACGGAGGCCAGCTTCCGAGGAGTGGGGAGTAGTCCTCCCCTGGCCGCGGGGCTGGAGGGAGCGAGTATCTTCTACGCAGAATGGAGTCAACCTCATCAGTCAGCAGTCTGGGGCCTCACTCCCCCTCACACCGTAGCTGGTGTCCCTGGGTCCGGAACTCTCTGGTTGATTTCCCTGCCCGGGTTAGGGAGGAGTGGCCGCCTGGCTGCACGGTGCAGGAGGCAGACCGGGGGTCTAACAGTCCTTGAAGAGACTTCCAATCGACCCCCTGTTTTCAGCCTCCTGCCTTGCCCTCCGTGGTGTCTGAGTCCCCTGCCTCGGAGCCCGCTGGAGTTCTGCGAGGCCAGTTGGTCGGCATCTCTTCTGTCTCCAACCCCTGGCCTGCCCTGCCACCGAACAGACACTTAGCTTGCCTGTCGTGGGCTCTGTGAAACCATTAAACCATTGGCCACCTGCCATCCGCTCTCCGCCATCGTGTGCAGGTGTCTCCTGGTTTCTCTGAAGATGAGAGCCTGAGTTTCTGTTTCATGTTCTCCCTCCTGTCGTGGCTGCTTTACGGCGAGGGGGTGGGGGCGGGGGGGTGCTGGGGCAGGGGCCTCTCTGCCCCCAGCTCTGGCCCGAGACGAGAGTCTCTTCCTTTTTGTTTTGCATACACTTCTGCGGTGTGTGGAACAAGTCGAATGGCAGGTGTCGAGGTTCACGTCTGTCTCTCCCCCGGCCTCTGAGCCTGTGGGGAGCGGAGGGCAGGTCTCGCCTGTCTCGGCGCCTCCAACTGCCGGCACAGCTTGGCGTGGAACACGCAGTTAGCAAGCAGGACTGAATTGAACTGCACTTCAGGTTAGGTGGACGATAGCTCACCGTGTCACCTCCCTTGAGGCCTTCAGAAGTCTTCTAGAACCTTCCTAGATCTCCAGCCCCTCCCCAGAGCCAGCCCTGCCCTGCCTCCCACATCCCACGAGGCCTGGAGGGTCCGATGTCCCCAGAGGTGAAGATTTCTTGGGCGGCGAGGGGAGTAAAGATGGTAAGGAGGAGAAGTAAGAGATTGAAGGGAGAGAGAGCGGGACTCCGGGCCCAGAAAGTCACTGTCTCGGGGTGTCATTTTACCCTCTCTTAGGATTCCGCGAGCTGGCCGGGCTCAGGCCGGTGGCCCTTGTGGCCGAGGCTGCTGTCATCTGGGGACTCAGCTGGGCCGGCACCTCCAAGGCCGGCATACAGGACTGGCGCGTTGGCATCAGTGGTCGGAATGCCGAGCTCAGCTGGGTCCTGGAAGGTCGGGTCTCTCTCTCCATGAAAGTCCATCTTCCACCTGCTTATCCATTTATACAAACAACAAACCCTTGTCCAACATGCCCTAGGTGCGGGGTACCGGCCACGGTCGTGGGGAGCATCCAGGCAGAGGGACCTTTTCCCTGGGCTCTCTGGGCGCCCCACGCAGGGCGGTCGGCTCCTGAACGCAGGCCCACACTCGACGCACCCTCACACCCAGGGTCTGGCACACCGTCTCCACAACTGTTTGCTGAATGATTAGGTGACTGAATGAATCAGTGGTTGTCTCGGCAGTTTTGAAGGCAGTAGGAGCGCCTCCTGAGCGGCACCATTGTTTGCAAAGGAGGACGATCCTCCCAGCTTCCTGGTGGAGGTCACTAGAGGCAGAGAGAATGGAGGCCAGTGAGGACGCCACGGCTACTGTCCAGGGTAGAGACGCAAGGGCTGGGGCAGGGAGTGCCAGTGGGCTAATCAGGGGGTGGTTTGACATGTACTGGAAGGCCGAAGTCTCCAGGCCTGGTGAGCAGTGGATGCTGGGAGGGGGGATGGGAGCAGCCAGGGGCACCTAGGGCCTCTGCTTTGGAGGCAGGAACAGGAGCAGCCCGGCGCTGAGACGAGAGCCCAGCATGCAGTGGTCGTGCTGGCAGGTGCTTTCCGTGCCCCGGGCGATGATTTCATCACCAGGACCAAGTCTGATGCTGGAGCCCCATACCCAGCCCAGGCCTGGTGCTGCTGGGTGCTCAGGAGTCACTTGTCACTGACTGTTTGCCCCGAGGAACTCAAGGGTGGGTTTGGAGGCATTTAACTGTTGTTCCAAATTGGGTTTTTTTCCTTTGGTTATGTTGAGGAGAGGCAGTCAACAACCAGCCTGAATCAGACCAAGCCTCACCGCGAGAGAGCTATGCCTGTGACCTTTGCCTGCTTTCTAATGCGAAGGTCTCTCCAGGAGGAGCTCAGGCCTCATTACCATCGCCTGCAGTGTATGTGGAAGTGTGTTTTCCAGCTGAGCCTGTACAAGCGAATACCCGCCTCTCCCTTTTGAATATTCATTCCCCGTCCGAAATAAAAGTCCCTGCTTCCCCTTGTTCGGGAAGCCATGACTCTGGAAATGGTTCTCGTGGTCTCCTATTTACCGCAAATAGACTTGACTTTGTGAGACACCTGCTTCTGGTGGCGAGTCTGATTTAACTCGCCAGGAGGGAACCAACCCACTTTGGTTTCGGTAACAGAATGAGGGAGCCTCCCCGTGTTGTCAGCTCCTGCCCACAACCAACAGTTCTTCGTGTTTCTAAACAGCCTCCTCGCTGACTTGCCTCAAGGTCTCTCTTTCTGATCTGAAGGGCTGCTGGTCCTCCACCACTTTGCAGAGCAGAAACGAGTGACTCACCCCATGTCTGGTGACTGCTGGGCAGATGACTCAGTAGAAAGAGCACAGGGTTAGGAGTCCTAAGACCCAAGTTACAAGTGCCGTCAGCTACAGCTAACAATAGCAGAAGGCTTGACCAACCGTAGAGTAAATAAACAGGTGGTTTCATTTTCATTTTCTTCCTGTAACAAGGCAGCCATTGGCATTGGTTCAGCTGCCAAACAAAGTTGTCAAGGATCCAGGCTCTTTTTCTCTTTCTCCTCTCCCATCCTTAGCATGTTAGCCTGTATCATCACACTTGTGGCTTCATGTTCATAAGATGGCTGCTGCAGCTCCAGACATCTCATCAGTATTCATCAGGGAAGGGGATGGGACAAAGAGCAGTGTTGGCTGGGTCTATCTTTTTTTTTTTTATGGAAGAAAACAAAAACTTTCACAGAAGCCACCTCTCCAGCTGACTAACACTTGTGTCTTGTGGGCCAGAACTGTGCAACCTTGGGACCCCAGCTGCAAAGCAGCCTGGGAAAGCAAGTATTTTTGTCTGAGGCTAGGTATATTGCTACTCTGCACAAAACTAGGATTCTGTTAGCAAGGAGGATGGGCACAGAGGTAGGAGGTGGAAGAGGGGAGTGGCTGCCTTCGTGAATGGAGCTCCAAGTCTGTGCCCCCCTGTGCCTCTGTTTCCTTCTCTGCAAAGCCGAGCTGCTGGTGCCCACCCTGGGAAGCTAGAAGAGGAGCCAGTGAGGAAATAAGCGCCAGGTGAGCGCTCACAGGTGAGAGCGCAGGTTACGTATGGACGGTGTTCTTGATATAAAGCAAGTACGTGTCCCCTGGGCGAGGCTCGGGGGCAAAGCCATGCTCACAGGCAGGGGAGCTCCAGGAGCGGAGGGAATTATTCGAAGCAGGGAAACCGGACCAGCGAGGGCAGAGGCCTGGGGTGAAGAAGCCTGAACCGGCTTTGAGGAACGGGGCTCAGCCGATGGCGGAGGAGTGAGCAGGGGAGGAGCGAGGGCAGGGGCGTGGCCAGGCCCCGGGAGTGGCCCCAGTTTATCCCGGGGCCCCAGTAAGAATGGCCCGTTTAACCGGGTTCTGGTTTGGTTTCAGAGGAGAGGTAACTTTACAAACTCAACCACCTTGTCTGAGCCACAGCTCAGATGGGCCATGGGGTGTCCCCCTGCGCCGGGGCTCCCTCAGGAGGGTCCTGCCTGGGACCCTCGGGACTTGGGGAGGGGCGGTGGGGCCGAGCTCTGGAAGAGCGGAAAATGGGGACCCGAAGCATTTCATCCAGGGGACCTGGGGGCCTCTGTGTTGTCAGGGTCGGAGTCCTGTGTCTCTTCTTCTTTCCTTTATTTTGGCCTCTCCAGAGCGTCAGGCCACAAGGGCAGGAACTCGTGTGCGCCCTGCGGGGTCCCCACACTTGGACCCCCTCTCCCCCACCCTCCGTGCCCCTGGAACGGTACCTGGCGCAGAGTGGGTGCTCAGTGGATACGCGTTGAATGAATGAATGAATGAATGAATGAAGGGATGAGGTTAGGTAGAGAAGGGCACTTGTCCCAGGAGGAGAAAGTCTGGCATTTGTACATCACAGACACTGAGGTGGGACCGACTCCATGCGGGCGCCGCTGTGCTTTATGGATGAACTTTTTAGATCCTTACGACAGCTTCATCTCTCTGTCTTTTTTTTTTTTTTTTTTTTGGTGAAGAAGATTATCCCTGAGCTAACATCTGTGCCAGTCTTCCTCTATTTTGTATGTGGGAAACCCCACAGGGTGGCTTGATGAGCGGTGTGTAGGTCTGCACCTGAGATCCAGACCCGCGAACCCCAGTCCACTGAAGCAGAGCAGGTGAACTTAGCCACTGCCCGCCGGGCCAGCCCCCATCTCTCTTTTAAAGACACTCGCCTTTGCTTCGTGCCTGCTGGGACTGCCATTGCTTTCTTGCACCATCAGGATGCTTTCCCGTGACCTCCGATGGTGGAGGTTGGGGGTCTCTGGCTGCCCACACCCATATTCCGAAATCCCAGCAAGGCCCTCAGTCTCCAGTCTCCGTTTGGGAACTAATCTCTCCACCCTGGCGTGTGGTGTTGGGAGGGTGGCCTCTGCTCCTTGCTCTATGCGTCCCATGGTCCAGGCCTGGCCAATCGGAGCACAGCATCTCCCTGACAAATAGGATTGGCTGAAAGGGGACCCAGGACCTAAGCTGGTCCAATCAGAGTAAATCTTAATTAGAACTTTGCCTGGGGCAAACACTTGCCCTTTTTTGCTGAACTTGAACCTGGGAGGATGAAACCCTGAGAGTCACTTGCCTGCAAATGAACCAGACAGCAGAAGGCAGAGCAAAGAGGTACAGGAACGTGAGCCCTGATAACATGATTTGAGCCCCCTTGATCAAGCTGCACCTGAAGTCATGATATTTTCAAATTTGAATCAATAAATTTATTTTCTGCTTAAGCAGGTTGAATTGAGTTTTCTGTTTGCAATAGCCAAAGTCTTGACTGAGGTCTGGAAGTTTTAAGACTCTCACAGGTAAATGCAGCTCAGGATCCTGTGAGTGGAGCAGAAAGACCTGAGAGGTGGCAAGAGTGAGCTGGACCCAGGCCTTTGACGGGCTGGGCAGATGCCCACAGAGATGTGAAAAACCTGATTTGTTTACATTGTCCCAAAAAGGAGCACTAAGACCAGAGAAGCAAAGTTCTGACACTCATTTAGCTCAGTAGAACTCTCAGACAAGCAGGACCATCAGTACTGAAGTAGGCTGCCCCCGGAGGGAGGGAGAGACCCGTCCCTGAAGGTATACAAGTGGTGGCCAGTGACTGTCTGGCCGGAAGTTTCCAGAAGGGATTCAGGCATTGGCTGGGAGTGGGGTAAACAGGTACATGCTGCCACACGCAGCAGCCAGCACTGACCGCGGTGGCACAGGAGTGACATTGGGTCCCAGGGCTCCCTTCTGGCCCCCGGGAAGGCAGGAGCGGGAGGGGAGCAGGACGCAGCACCTGCAGATTCATACCCTGCGGGCCCAGGGGGCCTCCAGCATGGAGAAGGCAATCAGCCAAGCTCTGCAGCCATCTGCTAGGAAACGCCACAGGGAGGGGACAGTGTGGCCAGCTGGGGTGCCATCGGGCTTTGGGTGGGGCTCCTGGAGGGTCACAACCATCTGGCTGGGAGGGCTGGGCGCCACCTGGAAGGGAGACAGGCAGGGGTGAGAATCTGGGACAAGCGGACTCTACGTCACGCTCATGGCTCTGCAGCTCCTTCCCGGCTCCCAGCTCCTGCTGCAGGATGGCCCTCCCACTCGGCCGCCACAGGAAGTCCTCCCCGTTCCACTGCCCCGAGAGTCAGTCTGCCTCCAGCCCTGCATGTGGGGGTCAGGTCTCCCCGCAGGACTGGGCTCTCCCGGGGGCAGGTGTGAGGCTCGGCCCTTCCCTCTCCTCCTGCCCCCTCCCAGCAGGAGCCTGCCGCGTGGGGGGGACTATGGGGGAGGATGAGGCACAGGGGACGGGCTCTTACCCCTAGAGGATGCTGCAGGGGCGCTTCTGCGTCCGCGTGGGCTGGGGGCACAGCACGGCCCGGATCGCCTCATCAAAGACGGTTTTCAGGCCTCGCTGGGTGAGGGCTGAGCACTCCAGGTATTTCACGGAGTCTGGGGAGGGGCAGGGAGAGGGCGGAGGCCCAGGTCAGGGGAGGGTGCTGGGGAGAAGCCCCTCCCAGGCCCCCCAGTGCCTGAAGTCGGGAGCTTGTGCTCAGTGGACGTGGTTGAGACCCCTGAGAGCAGGTCTGTGTTTCTGGGACACAAGCCCTGAGCTTGCGGAAGGCGGGCGGGAATTTTGCGCTTTCCTGGGGAGGGAAGGGCTCGTACACGGTGACCAAACCTCTCTGCGTCTCCGTTTCTTCTAGAAAACAGCCACATGCCCACCTCCAGGCTTCCCCGGGAGGCCTGGGGATCCTTACAGCCCACTCCCAGCCCAGGACCCTCCAAACGTCATCTGACCGTGGCTGAGCATCAGCCCAGTGTACAGATGAGGAAACTGAGGCTCCCAGAGGAGAAGTCGCTTGTCCACAGTCACGTGCTGGACATCTCTCCTGCCCCTCGGGGCAGCTGGGGGCCCTCAGCGAGAGGAAGGGGAGTTGGAGAGCTCCTCCTTTGCCCCACGAGAGGACCACTCGGGGCTGGAGCCTGGGGCACAGACAGCAAGAAGGGAAGGCAGAGCCCCCCTCCCAGGGGCAGAGTTCCATGACCTCCTGGAAGGGACCTTGCGAGTCCACTACAACCCCGTTTCCCTGAAGTGAGGAACCACAGGGCCCCTTCTTCGAGAGGCCTGGGACCAATTTCAGAAACAAGAGGAAGGAGAGGACCCTGCCCCGTCCCGGGAGCCCCCTCTCCTGGGGGAAGGAGCACATGACACTGATGGGCCCCTGCTCCCGCCCGGCCCCGAACCAGACGCTTCCGGAAAAATGCTGTGAAGAAATCCTGTGATTCCCCACTTCCCAGGTGAGGAATCAGGCCCAGAGAGGGGAAGCCACGGGCCCAGAGACGCCCAGCAGGGAGGGGGAGCAGGATCTCAGGAGGGGCAGCTCCTGGAAAGGGGAAGCCCACCGACGCCCCGGACTGGGGAGAAAGAAAGGAGGGGCAGGGACCAGGAAAGCGAGGCTCAGAGAGGACGTCACTTGTCCAAAGTCACACGCTGGATGTTTCCCGTCCACGTGGGAGCACACCACCAGGGAGCGTGGGCAGTGGTGCGGGGGTTTGGTGGACAGGAACAGAGACCCCTGAGTTCTGTCCGCAGTCTCACCATCAGAACCATCTGTCCCTAGAAAGCGGTCACTGGGCGTTTGGCCACTGTTTCTCTGCAAGGGACCGGAGCCAGTGTCCACTCTTCCATGGCCACCAACTGCCTCCTCCTGGGTGCCCCCCTGGCTTTTTTTGGCTCAGTGGCATCCAGAACCGGGGCCTGAGCTGGAGGCCTGGGCTCCCTGCAGCCCTGCCTCTGACCAGTCTAGCCTTCGGCCAGTGTCCCCTCTGCACCTCCGTCTCCCACCTGTCGGGACAGGTTGACAGATGATAACTTGTTGCGCCGAGGCAGGGGTAGGGTCACTGCGGAGAGGGCTTGGGGGCACAGGCAACCCTGATCCTCAGGACGGAGGGAGCCAGGCAGCCCGTGCCCGAATCTGGGCTCTGCCACGCCCCACCAGGGTGGCCTCGCACCAGTGACTTCTCCTCCCTGAGCCCCAGTTTCCTCCTTGGTAAAGTGGGAGTGGTGAGAGTCCCCTCTTCGTGCTTGCTTGGGGGAATGAAGGAAGACAACGCAGGGGCCCAGCCCCCAGGACGAGCTCAGTCCACATCAGCATGACCGTCAGCTGGGTCAGAGCTGCCTCCACACCCCATCACCCCCGGGCTGGGGAGCGGCCGAGGGGGCAGAGGCAGCCGCTGTCTGCCTCCTCCTGCAGGTCCCCAGGCTCCCCCTCAGCCTGGGCTGGTCAGGGGGGGCCCTGCCCCACCCACACGGGGCGTCAGCTCCAGGAGGGACTGGCTGGAGGCCAAGGCCGAATCCCCGAGTCATCTCCTTGTAGAGGAGAAAGGACCTTTAGGGACTGTCCAGGTCAGCTTGTGCAGATGAGGAGACTGAGGCCCAGAGAGGGGGAGCCCCTGGCCCGAGGTCACACAGACAGTCGGTGCCGGAGCCGGGACCAGAATCCAGGCCCCCTGCTCCTTATCCCAAAGCACGTGTTTCAAAGGGAGAGGGCCGGTGCGGACTGGAGAGTCGCTCATGGGCGGAGGGAGTCCGGGAGAGGGGACAGGCTGGCCAGAAAGGAGAGAAGGCAGGAGTGCAATCCTTGACATTTGTAAAGCCCAGCGGGCCTGGGAACCAGAGCCTGGATGGGGCGCGGGACCCAGGGTCTAAGAGGCCGCCTGAGGCCCCTGGCAGGAAGATGGCCATGTCGCTTGGGAAGTCACAGGAAGTGGGGGAGGTGGCTGCGGTTTCTCTTTCTGTGAAGAGATGTGAGTCCCCACATCTCTGTGCCCCCTCCCTGTTCCGGTGGAAGGCAGAGGGGCAGGGCTGAGGCCGGGAAGGGTGGGGAGGCCCCACCTCTTCGGAGGCCAAACCCTGGACCTGCAGGACCCCGTGGGGAGGGCGAGCACCCAGGGCAGCTGGGTCCCTGCTCACAGTGGTCAGACCCAGTTAGTGGTCCTGGCTCTTGGGCGAGGGCCCATCCCCAGGCTGCAGGCAGGTCAAGGCCTGATAGAGGACGAAAGGCCTCGATGCCAGGCAGAGGCCAGACCTGTCATCATTGCCCTGGGCAGGCAGCCCTGAGTCACCAAGAGGAGGCCCCCAAGCCAGCAACTTGCTGTCTCGCCTTCAAATCCCAGTTCTGCCACCTACTCGCTGTGTGACCTTGAGAAGTCACTTTACTTCTCTGGCCCAGTGATTAGAAGAAATTAGAAAGAAGGATGGGGCTGAGAAGCCAGGGGGACGGGGACAGGGAGGTGAGAAGGAAGCAGAGAGGAAGGTGTCACCCAAGACAGAAGCACCTCCTCCAGGAAGCCTTCCCAGAAGACGCATGTTTGACTTGTCTGCCCGTCCTCAAGTAACCACAGCACACCCACTCCATCCCTGCTTCTGCCTGCTCAAAATGCACTTATTTCAATATCTGCTGATGGATTTTACTACTACTAATAATGACTAACACAGAGTACTTCCCACGTTGGGGGACTGCTGTAGCTTCATGG